GAAGCACATTTAAAACTGGAATATAATTTAATTGCATTCACATGTGTTTCATAAACAAATAATCCTTTCTGGATTACAATCCGCCATCAAAATGATAAATTTAATTATTCCAGCTGCTGTGAGAAAAGGCTATAAACGATTCTCCACCAGCAGGATCCTCACATGCGATAGCCTAAAAGCCGGGACAACTTCTTTATGTTTACAAACGTGACGTAATGACACAGTGGCATGCTTGAATTTCCTGCGAAAACCTACCCATACCACTCAAATTAGAAAATATTATTATAAGCTAACCGTTGTGAATCGGGCTAAAGTAAGGCGATAGTTTTGAACACTGGCTGGTTATGTACTTGCTCAAATATTGATTTCGATTTCGGATTGCAGCTTTAATTAAACTAACAATGAGCAATATGTTTTTACAACATTAGTTAATAAAAATGTTAACATATACAACTTTTGATCTTAAAATGTATTAGAAAATGTTGAGATCAACATTAATAAATGCTGTCAAATTTAATGCAAAGTACTGTTCATTGTTAGTTCATGTTAACTAACACACACCCTGCAATGTCTTTGTGAACCCCCAGTGGCCCATGGTTGAAAATACTGGGTGTAAATAAACAACATTCTTACTTGGTGATTCCATCTTTAATGTAGTACAACAAGCATTCCGACATCAGTGGATCTTCATTGAGGTTGACCAGGTGAGGTGTCTGAAAGTCAAATCATAAGGAAGTGCTGATTGAAGCATAAGACTTTCACTAGCTTCATTTTAGAAAACATATATGATCTTCTAACCTTCTTTGGTGAAAAGACTCCAACGGTTCCTCCATCTTCCCTCATCGCCACACCCATTTCAGCCAAAAGTGCCTCTCTGATGAAAATAGAAGATTTTTACTTTTACTTATTGATTTATTTTTGTTTCACACAAAACTTGAATTTCAGACACATTTCAAGATAAAATTCCTCTTAGGGGTCTCCAACCTTTCCATTCTAATTGCCTCGGTGCGACGAAGCTTCTCTTCCCAAGTTTCATTGAGTTCTGCGATTATCTTCTCAGTTTCCTAGTTGGAAAAGAGGTCGGACATTAAGAAGATCAGCTCTGGCCCTTATTACTTTATCAAACCATCCATCCAGTCATCCCATCAGCCTCTCTCTCACCTTCAGCCTCTCAATGGCTTCCTCGCTTCCCGGGCTGAACATGATCCGGTCATGCAGGCTGCTGATGGAGCCAGCTCTGCTGGGCAGGGCAGAGAGAGAGGACGAGGGGCTCATCCCGGTCATGGCATTGGTCACTGTGGAGAAATCACCCCTTTGATTGACAGCCTGGATGCTACTGAGATTAGTCTTGTAACTTGACAAGTCTGGGCAACACGTGGGAACAGGTTGTAGAGTCAAAGGATAAAGTTGTGGTAAGAGAGAAAAGGAAAACCATGGAAACAGAAAAGAAGGGGAAGGAGGAAGAGTAGAAAGTGTCAAACATAAAGCTGAAAAGCT